AAATTGTGCACAATACACGTGAAGAAGATGATGCCAATGGGCAATGACCCATGACAACGATGAAAAAAGGTAGCGAGGCCTCAGACTGCATTCAACTAGGCCAACTTGTGAAAATCAGGTAAAATATATAAATATATTTTGTGTTATCATGTTTAAGAACTTTTTGAATTTTTGTTATCTCTCATGGGATAAGACATAAGAAAAATATAAGTAGAAAAAATGTAGAGGAAAAATGATAGAATATGTTTTAAGTTATAAATGTGTGTAAGAATAAAATTATAACTATAAAAACTGATGATATATAAATATAGTAAATATTAATGGTAATTTTATAATTATGTAAATATGTATTTCTATTTTATATATATTTTTTTGTAGTTATTGATTCTTTTTTATATTATTTAGATCATAGTTCCAAGAACCCGACTAGATTAGCCAGTTAATTGGACCAAAATACTGGAACTGGCCCCCTGAACGATTCGTTTATTTGAAAAATGTCGCACAGGAATTGACCATTGAACTAGTGAACTAGTAGCTTGATCGATTTGATGACTGATATGGTTCTCTGAACAATAATTTAGATACTAATGATAAAAAAGGCATTTTTTATTCAATCACATTTTCTTTTTTTTTTTTTTGTGAGAAAATTGTGTGCTAAATAAGTAATGAGGCTGAATAATTTTTTACATACAAAAAATGGATTTTAATGTTTTAATTTTATCTATTGCAAAGATTAAGATATAAATATATATAACTTAAAGATGTATATAATACTTCTAATTCTTTTTTTAGGTAAATTTGATTTCCTTACCCTTTTTATTTTTTATTACTTTAAGATGAATATTCATATCATTTTTAAAAATTTCTAATAATATTTTTATTTGTTATCTCTTTTTATAAATATTCTATTAAAATAATATTCTTTCAGAATGAAATTAATTCGACACCAATATTATAGTTGTAAAGTAAAAAATAATATTTATGAAAACAAATTTAAAAATAATCAATGTTATGATTGTTTGTCATCCCCTCTATATATAATTTCGAATGCGCTGAGTGACAAACTCTCATGCTTCGTAATTTTATTTGGCAAAAAATCATGCTTTGAAGTTAGACTTGGATATAAATTAATATTTGTATTGATTGTGTTTTAATATCATTTCCTATTATAACCATTGAATTGCAAATATATTTTAAAAGTTGATAACTTTTGTATTTCTCATCGGTTTTACATATATAATATATCAAATTAATCAGCTTTTGATGAGCTTCGATTTGACATCAATATTGTATGTATAAAATAAATAAATTATATTTATCTTTATAATAAAAATAAAATTATTTATTAAATTTAATTAGAAAATAAAATTATTTATAAATTAATATATTTATGTTTAATGTAGTTATATGTTATAATATAAAAAATTTATTATAATATAACACATATAAGTCGCACAAATAACATGTCTCATACTAAAATATATAAAAATATATACTCCCTCCTATTTTTATTATTTGTCACTTTGGCTTAATTGATCATTGATAAAATAAATGTCGTTTTAGATATTTTGTTCATATTTTTTCATTTTTAACCCTCCATCTAATACACAGTGTCTCTTCATATCTCATCTCCATCATTTCCCATAACATCCATTAAATAGGGTTAATATTGTCATGAAAAAAATATTTTAATTAGTGTGTTGTATTTGAATTGATATTATGAAGTTCGTTTATATATTATTATTTATTTATATATATATAATACAAAACAATAATATATATCCTTATAATAAAATTTAAATTTATTAAACTGTGAAAAACGACTGATACGACACTTGATCTATTAGGCATCTAATTAAGTACACAATTATAATATAAATATACTTAATGATAATATATTATTTGTTAATAGTACACAATTTTGAAAACTCCATTATAAATTGTGTTGATATCCGAGTTCGCCCATGAGACCGAGCCGGAGCACAATTCCAAGAGCCGAGCCGGAGACCCGGTCTACCCGTAAAAGTGCCGAGCCGAACCGGAAAACTTTTTTGATCCTGACATCGCCGTGAGATCATTCGTCAGTTCGGTATCTTTAATTACGACGCCGCGGGTGCCGGGCTGAGAAACGACGGACTGAAAGAAAGATTCCCCAGGACCAAGGGAACAGATGAAAGTCAGATGCCGAGGTGCCGACTTGGGGTCCCAGAGCGGGCCTCTACGACGGAGAATGCCGGTCTCTATAATGGTATAATAATGCCACTTGGAGGACAATCATTGGCTAAATGGATGGGACATCATAGCCTGCAGACCTACCCCTCCTAGCTAAAACATAAAGCCTGTCAGCATTAAATGCCTGCCACCTAATGATGAGGAAAACCTCAAATCGCATTTAATGCTGTCAGAGAAGCGCCGGACTGTCCCGCAGGAACACTGTACGACAAGACGGATGAACAGTATCTGAACAGTGCCACATTAAAGGCTACTATAAATAGCAATCCTTCTCATTTATTTTGGGTTGTTGAAACTGAACTGTAATAGCTATCTCTCTCTACTTTCTCTCTCTAAAAATCGTGTGATTGATC